GCAACCAACCAAATTGCACTTGTGTTGTCAGGATTATCGTTGTCTGGTTGCATCGCGACTCACATTGGTAAAAACGTGATAAAATCCCTATTAGATGAGTTCTGGGCTGAAATTTCGGCATTATGTTTAGGGGAAACTTCCTCAAATGAGAGCTATAAAAGAGATCGGCTTTGAAAGTTCCCAAAACTCCTAGTAAAGTGGTGTCTATATGTAGATAGAACCAGATAATTCCACAAGTGTTGAGTTATCAAATCAGATTATGACACTACAAATTTAGCCCACCTACCTATTCCCCCCCTACACACACACACACACACACACACACACACACACACACACACACACACACACACACACACACACAAACACACATCTCTTTCATCTCAACAAGAAGACGGTCGAGGCGCCATTGACCAATTAATCTTCCAGATGTCCATCATATGAGGCCAGCCAAAGCTGCACGAGTCTCCTTCATCTTCATGGACTCACACAAGTCTGAGATGCTTCAAAATATACCTGAAGAACCTGAATCTAAAGAAACTGTGTGTGTGTGTGTGTGTGTGTGTGTGTGTGTGTGTGTGTGTGTGTGTGTGTGTGTGTGTGTGTGTGTGTGTGTGTGTGTTAGAGCGATATGTGATTGACAAATTCAGATTCTTCCTATTTGATCACCTCCAAAATAATCCTCAACCATCTGGAGGAGATAAGCAAGTTAAACACACAGTTGTTCCTCCTAATGTCTTGTTCCCCTGAGAGGTGAACACACATATATATAACAACCTGTGCCCTAACACACACACACACACACACACACACACACACACACACACACACACACACACACACACACACACACACACACACATACGCATGCACCCTGGAAAAAGCAGACAGGAACAGACACACGTGCCAGCATCCACTCACACAAACACATATTCACTTGCCTCAAATGGACAGATGCTGCACCTCTAGAGGCACGGGGACCCAGCAGCTGTTCCCCAGCTAGTCAGATGGGCAACCATTGATAGTTCATGAATATTTTACACTCAGTCAAAAATGGCCGCATTCCAGGCCGCCTACAACAGCAGCCGCGCTGGACCAGATGATCATCATTTAAGTGCATGGATGGACTTGGAGTTCCTGACACGGACTTGAAGTTTGTGTTTTTTTCCTAAAAGCATTTCTCTCTTTTTCCAGCTCCGTTGACACGTTCACACACGTTAAACCTATAATTGGCTCAGATTTCCTTTTAGAATAAAACGGAAGCAAACAGAAGTTGCAGGCCTGTCTGGTGGATTTCTTCTTCAGAGCCTTGGTATATTAAAACACATTGATGATGTTTTCACACCATACATGTGAGATTGAGAGTGGAAGTGTGAACATAATGTGTGTGTATGATTCATGTCTGTTCATCCAGGCTCTCGCTGTGGCAGCTTGGCTCTGGGATCTGGGATGGCTTCACTCCAAACCTCTGCAAGGGAAGAAAATAATGTTTCAATGTGCACAATACTGTCGATTTCACTTGAAGCAATGGTTTCCATTACCTCTCTGTGCCTCGGAGGGGAGATTAATCTTATCTACCCCAGGGCTGAGATGCAAACATCTGTCTGCCCTTCTCCCCATCTCTTCCACCGGCTCTGTCTGCCAGCCCGTGTGTCCCACTGCACATCCCCATTATGGACATGATGAGGGCAGCGGTGGGACATGCTGCTGCAGGTTTGGGATGCTCTTAAACGGACAGGAAATGCATGTGGAGAATCTTTTTGCTCTGTGCCTGGCTCAGTTAGAGCTGCCTATAAGAAATTGTTAAAAGGAATGGAAATAACAATGTTTGCTGCGCTTTTCTGTCTCTTTTTGATTATTTTGGCCTCCTGCTGCTTTGAAACGGAGCACAACAATTTTACTCTTTCTTAATTTCATTCTGAAAAACACATCTTGTGATCATTGAAAAGGGTAAAATTATGACCCCAAAAAAGAACAATGCATTATATAAATATGCAAAACAACAATAAAATCTTTAGATGTGATTTAAGTAGCTCTTGTTCAGTCAGCAGGTGGAGCATCATCATCATCATCCTGTACTTGTGCTGGATTTTGTCAGCTATGTAAACATACATTTTGATTTCAGGTAGCAGCAGTTAAACCTGCACATCTGGACAGTGATAAAGTCTCAGGGTTCCTTTTTTTACTGATCTGCTTTCTCTTTGCTTCAGACTAAAGAGATGAAGCTACACCGAGAGCTTTGTGTTCCAGCACGCAAAGCTAGAAACTGGATGTGATCATCAAACACCTTCAAATGAAATGCGTAAAATGAGTAACTCTGATCAATAACCTACTAATAATAGGCTTAAAAATGTAATATTTCTTGTTTTTGCAGCAAATTGTTTACAATTATGTATTTTTTGGTTTATTTTAATTGTTTTAAATTACGTCCTAACAGGTTTTGTTTATTATAATCATACTTGTTCCTAAATTATAAAAAGCCTTGGAGCTTTGGAGAACTGAAATGTGTGGTTGCGTGTCATACATGGGATCTACAGCGCCCTCTAGAGGCCAAAAGAAGGTCTACTGAAGCATGCTTGTATTTACTCTAAAATGCTAAATTAAATCTGTAAAGTTTCACATCTCTTCCATATGTGTTTAAAAAGAGACACGTGTCAGCTTAGTTTTCATCACTGCCATGATGTTTGAAGATCTAAATATAGTCCCACTGTTTCCCAACAAACACGTGACAATATTTTTGGATGAATGCAACCAATGTCCTTTCAGTTTCAAGCAGAAGAAGGTCCTAAACAAAAGCTTGCAGCAGATGATTACAAAGTCTGATTTGCACATTTTGTACTTAAAAAAACTCAGTTTACTTTGATTTTGAGTTAACAGCCAACGAGTTCTATCGATCATTCTTTGCTGTTTTTGTTCGCAAGAGCAGACACAAACACACACACTGTGCTCCAGCATCTGGTGAAACAATGAGTGGATTAGGAGGGGGTGAAACACAGGAAAAGGTGTCGCAAGTTTGGAGAACTTCATGAGAATTTTTCTATTCAGTGCAACTGAGGCCATCTGACATCCTGCAGGACGAGAAACACGAGGATCCACTGGAAATTACAGATTCCCCCAAAGTAGCGAGTGGGCTTTATATTTATAACAAAAATTGGCTAATCATTTTGAAATTCTGCCCTAAAATCCAATTTTCCAGCAAGATGCATTGTTGATCTGCTTGATGGGCCTAATTGTACTTTCATGCATGAACAAGGGGCTCATTGTGAGGCGGTAGTAACATGGATCCCCAAACTGACAGACACATAACAAGGTCATCATTCATTTGCATTTTAGCTAGTCCTTCAGCTATGACACCAGATCGTGTGAATTCATTACCACACAGGGTTGCTGTTCATCCTGCCATCTATTAGTAACGCCAATTAGTTTACTGGGACAGGTTTGGGGAATGCAAATGCAGACTCACACGGGCGACCAAACTTTTTCATGTCAAGGCTCTCTTGACAAGCAGACATAAAAGGGTTTTTGTGTCCTGCTGACCCACATCGGCAAGGACTTTAAACGTGATAAATGGTGCGATCAAACACCAGAAGTGCTGTTTTCTTAAACGTGTTTAGATTTCTTTTAATTTGACATTCTAAACAAAACAACCCGCCCACTGTTTATTGTTCCCAAGACGTGATTTGATGCTGCAAATCATCTGTCTATCAGAAAACTCAGCTGTGGGGGTGAAGGCACAAAAGTCGAGTGTGAATGTGTGGAACAACCTGATAACTGTAAAGCGCCGCTTACAGGTTAAACAGGCCTGGCCACACAAAGCCTGGGTCTCACAAGGCAAAACCAGTCACAGGTCTCCCATTAAAGTGCCAGTCATGTGTCTCCCATGGGAGAAATCAAACCTCAACACGGAACATCGTGACTTTTACAGGAGCTGTTCTCACCCATCTGTTAACGGGGCAACTCTTTGACCTCCAGAATTAATTTTAAATAACATTACAATATTTTTACTTTTTTCTCTATGTGATGAAGACTAAAATGAGCTTACTTAAAATTAAAACAAATGTAATCCCCACAGGGTTCTTATATAAACTGACTAAGCTATAAATTGGTTATGAGACCATTTTATTTGTATTTATGTGCATGCAGAATTTTACAGATGTGTTCCTCTGTAAGGTGAGATAAGATATAAACGCTCAGATATCCTTACAAATAAACGGTGCTGTGATACGAATCACTTATTACATCTTCACACTCATTATGAGCTCTAAATAAGCACTTCTGGCAGAGACACAGCTGCTGTGCTGCTGATGAAGACCTGCTTGCATGCTACTGTTATCTCAACAATCAAAGCATTATTCAGCTCCACCGGAAACCAACTGTTTATTTCTGTCAAGGTGATGCACCTGCTCTCATCAGCCCCGCCCCCTCCCCCTCCACCACCCTCCTCTTTGACTACAGTACCCAGAGCGCACCGCGCCGCTCTCCACTCGCTCTCTGCTGCGCCAGTCCGCCCCGCTGACTCGCAGAACCAGTTGGTTTGGCCCAGCTTCTTCTTTCCTGCCTCCTCGCTGTGTGTGTGCTGCTGTTGTTGTTGTTGCCTGGTGTCAACCTGCGCCGACGACAGAAGAAGACATATCCCTCCGTCTCCTCTGCCTGTTAGAGGGGCCTTTCCACTCTCCTCCTCGCCGGTGGCACCGCTGGCTTCCGCGCCGCGTCCGGTCAACTCGCCTCCCTTTCCCGGCTCGAGTTGAGCAGCAACAGCTCGGAAACATCTGGCCGCCGCAGAGTGCTACACTCCCCGTCCCTGCGCCTGTCTGCTCGCCTTGGCAGCCTGTTATGGAAATTAGTCTAAAGTAGTTTGGTCTCCGAGAGGGAAAAAAAAGGAGGATTCGACGGAGGAGGACGTTGGACCTTGTTGTCTGTAAGTGCTGCCTTTAATGCCGGAGTCCGATTAAAGGAGGATCAGGAGGAGACGGAGGGTGGGTTACGGAGGGGAAAAGTAGCTCCTTAGCAACGATGCTGAAGCTAGTTTACGATTAGAGTTGTCGAGTAAAAGGCTAATTTCACCCTTTTTTTCCTGTACCACCTTAGATATCTGCGCTAAAACGTTTATAATAACCAAACTAGACAAATTTGTACTAAACTAATAATAGATTAATATTTTAAAAAATCTGTTTGCTATTAGACAAACTTTCTGTCTTATTTGGGAAAGTTGTATTGGTCCGTTTTATTTCTTTTTTCATTAAAAACACATAAATCGCTTAGAATAAAATCTAGCTTGAAATGTAAAACAGAAAAAAGTAGTTGTTTTACCTATTGTGAGTTTTTCGGATGTGCTCTAGATACAAAAAAAGCTTTTAAAGTTGTCTGTTTTTTAACTTTCTTAACATATTTTTTAAATCAGTGTTTAAACTATTTAAATTTAGTCCGAAAAGTACCAGAAGTCATTTAAGGTAGTCCGGATTCATAAAAGGTGAATTAGCGCTTCACCTATATTTGGAATCGGAAGCGTACTTCAGCGTCGTTCCTTAGCATGACTGTGTGTTGTCTCGGCACTACAGTTGCTCTGTTAGCTCCGCGGTGTTTCACCAGCTGTTGTCATAGCACCGGGGCCACCGATCAACTGTAAATATCTCAGTATTGTTTCCTGCTCTCTTTAGATGTGTTAGCATGACTCTGGCTACAGCTAGCAGCGTGGCTCCGTGTGTGTGTTTGTTGTGTCTTCTGCTAAGAAATTAATTACAGTCATCTCGGGTTCGGCGACTGTCTTCCAGGCTGCCAGTCGTGACATTACTTCGACTTTTCAAAGCCTGGAACCTCTCAGGGGCGGGAAACCGCCTTTAAATTAACTTAACGCTTATTCTAATTTACAACAGCATCATTTATCTCCTTTTCTCAGAGTTTAAGTGCAGTTCCCTCGCTAACTATGATAAATTGTGTCAGAGTGAGGCTGAAAATATTTTTTTAAACAAGTTAGTACACTTAAGTTTATAGGAAAGTTTAAATATATACATAAAAACATTATAAAACCACAAAAACGATTTTATTTTGAAACTTTTGCACAGCTGTTTAAGTTTTTATCGCGATATCTGGAGCGGCGATATTGGAAACCCTCCCTGTTTGGCCCTTTTAAACTTCCCCGGGTCCATTTAAATGAAAAATGAATATTGTCTGAGTGAGTTATCTCTGCAGACTAATAACAGTGAAACGAAAGCAAAATCAAGCGGCTATAATAAGTTTCTCTAAGGGTTTTTAAAGCCTCGTCTGGCTTGTTCCCATTGTTTCCTGCATTTCTGTTCCTGGGTTTTCCAAAAGGTTTGAACTTGGGTGTGTGTGGGGGTGCATGCTCAGATAGATTAATGAATAAATGAATGAGTGAATGAATACAAGACGAGGCGCAGCGGCGCTGAACCGTAAAAAAGTGGGAAACAATATCAGCTGCGTGCGTCTGTCAGTTGCAGAATGTGCTGTGTGGGTCTTTGTTTATAGTGGGGAGGACAGACAGAGACAGGGGTGCGTTTAAAATATTCAAAACTCTTTTTGGGGGGGGGGGGGGTGTTTGGGGTTCCCCTGAATCTTTATTATTCCTTTGTTTTTGTAAAACTTTCTGTTTCCCTGATAGCGGTGGGTGAGGAAGAAGTCCCCATATAACGGTGACACAAATCAGCATCCCACTGCATTTGGTATTTCTCTTTTTCCCCCCAGAGAGCAAAAGGAAAAAGAGGAAGGGGGAGAAGGAGAGACAAAGTTGTTGAGTGTTGGTAGAATGAAAGAGGAGTCTGGTGGCAGGAGTGTAGAGGAAGCAGCATATGGCTGTAGAAAGAGCACAGCTGGAGGTAGCATCTCCATCTGAGGATGATGTCAGAGCAGCTGACAGGCTGCCATCCACCCCACCTCCTCCTCCTCCATCCCTCCACCGCCTCCACCCCTCCCCGGTCTTTTATTGTGAGTCTCAGCGGCAGCCTGGGAGAGTTAGTGCTGCGTGTGTGCGCGCGTGTGTGTGTGTGTGTGTGTGTGTGTGTTTGCGGCTGCCGATCAGCGCCACTTAGGAGGAGGTGGAGGAAGAGGAGGAGGGAGGTGGTATCTCGTTCCCCCTCCAACATCTCCTCCACTTTGCATCTGTCCCTCGCAGTTTGAACAGCGTGTTGTTTTTTTTTTGTTTTGTTTTGTTTCTTCCCTTTTTTTTCTCCTCCGCCTGCCTCCCCTCTTCCTCTGCTCTCCTCTACCCACACTCATTGATTCAGAGTGAGAAGGACACACAGCCAGTCAGAGAGCCCCGGCGATTCTGCCACGCTGGAGTTAATCAAGTTGATGCGTACCGCTGCAGGTATCGTTTGTGTTTGTGCATGAGTATGAGAGACCAGTCCAGGGTGGAGGAGTAGTGGTTTTATTCCAGGGGATGTTGTCAAACCTGTGTGAGCGTCTCGGTAGTAAACCGCTGAAGCAGCTCCTGTAATTGCTGTCCAGGAACGCTCCGTTCTGCTTTTCCACGCTAGTTTGGAGATGTGTTTCACTTTTCTGTTATTCTCTGTTTAAATCTGTTTAATTCCTCACTACAATACTGGGAAAATGATCGATGAATGTGCATTTTTTTTTAAGTTTCACCTTTTTTTTATTTTGCAAAGATTAGCAAATAAATAATAGAAAAACTTTAGTTCTGAATAACTGATGTATTTTTTTCCCTCACAGTTAATTCAGTTTCTCTGTAGAATTACTTGAAAGCATGTGCGCTCCGCTACACACACTTGTCCCCCTCCTGTCGGCTGGAGTAGAGGAGACTAATTTAGAAGTTGCAGATTTGAGCTGCCTGAATTGGCTAGACAGCTGTAATCGCACTCCCTCCTAGTCTTAATCTCTTTATCTGGCTAGCAGCTGCCATATGGCCCCCGTCAGCTGGATCAGATGTGGGTAAGCCTCCCTCCCCGGCCTTCCCAGCCTCTCCCTCGCCCTCTCTCTCTCTCTCCTCCCTGTCCCTCTTGTGTCCTTCCCCCAGACCCCTGCCCGAGCCGCCCGCCCGAGCGGGCTGGGACGGGGCGGCTGGGTGGGCTCGGTGACTGGCTGCTGCCCTCCTGAGCCTCCGCCGGCGGCTACTTCCCCGCCGCCGTCACCGGCGTCTTTATTTTTAGCCATCTTTAAGGATTAGGATTGATGCTGTGACGAGCAGGGCACTTACAGTGATTGTATTGTAAATCTTCTCTTCTGGGCAGTAGGGTTGAGGAAGAGGGCAGTTTCTTCTTTGGGGCGGATGTGCTGAGTTTTACTCATGAGATTCAGATGAGAATGTGTAAAGTGGATGGTGTGTGTGTGTGTGTGTCTGGAAGGAGGAGGTGGCAGAGGGGTTTGGCTGTAAAGAGGGGTGGGGTTGGAGGGGGAGGTGGGAGGTGGTACACCCTTGTCCCCGTAAGTCCCCTTATTAAAAGCGGTCCGGGCGAACACACACACACACTCACACATACGCACCCACGCACACACACAACACTCAGACGTACACACACGTCTCACACACACTTACATTCCTGGTTTAGCTTCATTCAAATGAGGTGATATAACTGCTTCGGTCAAGTCGGCGCAGAACGGGAGACATGTATTTTCTCAGGCAGGACAAGTCGACTTGGGTAACAGGTGGGACGTTTTAATCCTTTGACATCCCTTAAATGTTTTTATTTATCAACTTGATAAATAAAATTTTACAAACTATTTTTCTACTACAAAAAAAAATAGCTTTGCCGCAAGTTTTCTCCTGAATCTGAAACCTAAAGTTGGCGCTCGCGGGTTTTGTGATTTTTCAGCTGGCCAGTTTTGCTTCTCGACTAAGTCTGTGGAGGTGGCTGGTAGGTAGGCTGGAATGTAAGTGTGTGTGTGAGAGAGAGAGAGAACGGTGTGTGTAGCTGAAAGCTGGTTACCTAAAAGGACTGTGCCAGGCCAGGCCAAAGTGGGTTAATAATAAAAATAACCGGCGTAGGAGCAGCGACAATCCAGGAGTGCAGGCAGAGGAGTTGGAGCGATGCAGGAAGACAGCAGGAGGAGAGAAATCTGTCTCTGCTGCCTTGCCTGAGAATAAGTCTGACGTGGTAAAAACTGGATTCCCTCCTAAGTCTCTCCTTATGCCTCTGTGTTTTTAAATGTCTTATTATTTATTTAAAATTAAATAATTGATTGAAAGTGTTAAAATAATTGCTCAAAGAAATTCTACTGTTTACAAGGAATTTTTTATTATTCAAAATTTTATTCTAATCTTGCTTTAATAACGCGGCACATTAATATCTAATTTTTCTTGTCCAGTAATCAGATTTTTTATTCCATATGCATTTATTTGTCGTTTGCGTTTCTCCGTTTCTTCTTATTAAACTCATTAATTCTAATTTAGTTTGCAGGAACACCCAGATATCGATATCAAGCTGTTTTCTCTTGAGTTGTTTTTGTTTGTCGCCTTCCCTTCAGTTTCTTTTCCTCACCTTTTGTAAAATCTCATCAACAAGGAAACTTTGGAGTCTGGCTGATCTGAGACCTGATTTGCTCACCTGTGACTTTGTGTCTTTGTACGGCTGCAGGTTATGAGGACGGCAGGATGGAGTTCCCAGACCACAGCAGACATTTACTCCAGTGTCTGAGCGAGCAGCGGCACCAGGGCTTCCTGTGTGACTCCACGGTGCTGGTGGGCGATGCCCAGTTCCGTGCCCACCGTGCCGTGTTGGCCTCCTGCAGCATGTACTTTCACCTTTTCTACAAGGACCAGCTGGACAAAAGAGACGTGGTGCACCTCAACAGCGACATTGTGACGGCGCCAGCCTTCTCCCTGCTCCTGGAGTTCATGTATGAAGGCAAGCTGCAGTTCCAGGACCTCCCCGTAGAGGATGTGCTGGCAGCGGCGAGCTACCTGCACATGTACGACATCGTCAAGGTGTGTAAGAAACGACTGAAGCAAAAGGCGACGGCGGAAGCAGACAGCACTCGCAGGGAGGAAGATGGCGGGTCCAGTTGTTCTGACAAGGCTGACAGTCTATCAGAGGGTTCGACGGGTCGGCCCGCTACCGCTGACCTGCTTCACAGTGACGAAGAGGAGGAGGGGAAGGCCGAGGGAGGTCCGCTGTGGCTGAGGCTGCCAGCTGCGGACAGGCCAGGGACACCAGGTATGGCTACAACCAGCCCGAATCGGGGTGAGACAGAGACTCAGGCGGGGGAAGTGCTGGGGGAGGGAGCGAAGGTGCTCTCCCCGGCCGGCAGCCCCAGCAGCTCCACTGGATCCCTCTCCCAGAGGTCTCACCGCTCTGCAGGCTCTCGTGGAGGACACAGAGGTAGGAAGGTGTCGAACGATGCGGCTGACTGTGTCCTGGACCTATCCGTCAAGCCAGTTGCTGGTAGCAACCACACCAACCACCATCAGTCTTATTTCAGCCGTGCTGCCACACCGGACAGCCTGCAGAGCCCGTTGGCTGTCAGGGTGAAGGTGGAGAGGGGTGTAGCTTCAGATGAGGAAGAGGAACTGGGAGGTGGGGACTATGACATGGAGCACAGTGGCCTCACCAAAACCCCTCTTCCCAGTGCTAACGGGGTTCTGACCCACCACGGGATCGGGGGGCCTCTGTCGGCCCAGCGGAGGCTCGGGCTGGAGGCGCACCTGTCCGCTCTGCGAGAGGCATCTCTGGCCTCAGAGCTGGAGCGGGAGGAGAAGCCTCCAGCCTCAGCAGACGATGAAGACATACTGGGTGGAGAAAACGAGCGTGCCCAGGCTGAGGCGGCCAGTATGGATAGCTCGCTGCTGCCTTACGTCTCCAACATGCTGTCAGCACAGCACACCCAGATCTTCATGTGTCCGCTGTGCAACAAGGTTTTCCCCTCGCCTCACATCCTCCAGCTCCACCTCAGCTCCCACTTCAGGGAGCAGGAGGGCATCCGCTCCAAGCCCGCCGGAGACGTCAACGTGCCCACCTGCACCATCTGCAGCAAAACCTTCTCCTGCATGTACACTCTGAAGCGCCACGAGCGGACACACTCCGGTGAAAAACCGTACACCTGCACCACCTGCGGCAAGAGCTTCCAGTACTCTCACAACCTCAGCCGCCACGCGGTGGTGCACACACGCGAGAAGCCGCACGCTTGCAAGTGGTGCGAGCGGCGCTTCACGCAATCCGGGGACCTCTACCGACACATCCGCAAGTTTCATTGCGAACTGGTCAACTCGCTATCAGTGAAGAGCGAACCACTGGCACTGCCCAACGTCAGGGATTGGGCGATCGAGGACAGCTCCCAGGAACTGTGGAAGTAGAACCGGACTTTTGGGGTTAGATAAAGGGAACGAGACGGAGAGGTGGAAGGGAGGTGGCAGAGTTTGATAGTCGGGGGTTTAAGTGAGTCACATATTTTTTTTTTGTTGCAACATCTCATTCAACTGCACTTTAATAGCACATGAAAATGTTACTACTGAGTTCTTGTGTTAGAAATGTTTTCTTTTGTTCTGTTTTGTTATCATTTCAAGTTATTACCTGGCGTTAGTTTTCCTCTTTTTGTGGTTTAAATTGCGTCTGAGGACACAGAGAATGTCGCACGTTTGTTTGTTTTTTTAAGAGTTTTGACTCCGATTGTGTTTGACCCCAGAAACAACACTTGTGTCTCCAACCAGCATCCCAGTCCCAGCGTCCATGTCCCAGTGTCCATGTCCCAGTCGCATAGATAACACGCACCACTGCAGGAGTCCAGGTCGAACACACTGAAGTGAAAAAGTGTTACAATACACTAAACGGGTACTGTGATCACCACACACTAATGATGTGTGTGTGTGTGTGTGATTCTGCACTACTCTGGTAACATTTCACCTAAAATTTGTGTGTGTGTGTGTGTGTGTGTGAGTGTGTTTATTATTTAAAATTTCTCCTGGCATGAAGGTGTCGTTACCGAGGCGCTCCCCTCTCCTCTCGGCGTTTCGGCGAAAGCTGACTGACTTACCGAAGGCACTCATGCAACGCACAGCCTCCTCCTCTCACTTCCAATCAAGCTGAAGCGTTTTCTTAAAGACCTTTACGAATAATAATAATTATTATTATTGTTTTCGATAGATTTTTTCTTTCAAGAATCTAGCTGGAAGTCTTTAAATCAGCTCTTGTTGTAAAGGTATTTAATTTAAGGTTGTTGTACATTGTTCTGCTATAGTTTTAAGACTTTATTCCATGACATTTTTTAAATTAATTATTATTAATATTATTATTATTTTGTTACTTTCTTTTGTAATGGGACCTGCTGTTGTTGCATGACGTCCAGACTTGTATATTTTAAAATAAAATGTGAATTTGCTGTATTACTGTACACATTGTAATTGATCAAATACTTGACAATGGGCTTTCTCTCTCTCTCTCTCTCTCTCTTTTTTTTTAACTTAATTTTATTTTTTTGTGAATACTACTCCAGGGTGCAGTCTGTTGAAAAAGTGAATATTCCTATGATCAGAAGGGGAAATGCATGAACATTTGATTTAGTCTAAAACCTTTAAGTTGTCACGTTTGGTTGGGGGCGGGGTCAAACAGCAAACCTTTGACGGCACAAGGTTTTTCACTCCGTTTCTGGGCTCCTGGTGGAACGTTTGAGATTTTGGATGCGATATGATAAAGCATTTTAAGCCTGTGTCTATATGCACTGATTTTCTCTGCTGTGTGTGTGTGTGTGTGTTACGAGTGTGTGACTTGGTTAGTACCAATCAATTTGACCTACTGAAGCTCTACGTCCACCCAGCACTTGGTTGTCCTCCTCCTCAGGCGTTAAATGTTCACACAGATTCAGTTATTTCTCTCGTGCCCGTTTATTTTTACTACTCTAAACACGGTCGAGCCGTTCCTCAGTAAACCCTGCAGATTTTGGCCTCTTGGCTCAGGTTTTGGTTTACCTGAGGCGTGAAGGACTCGACTCTGGCTGCTGCTGAACGTTACAGGGTGGGATATCTTTGTCACCCCGCTGACCTGAGAGCAGCGTGTCCCACGTTAGATGTCATCAGAAATCTTTGGAGAGAACTGGCCTCGAGCTGAAAGCACCTTTTAAGCTAGAAGACATGAAAAGAGGAATTTGCTGTAAAAGATGCCTTTATGAGAGGAAAAAAAAAAACATTTCTGATGCTCTGAAAGTATTTGATACTGTAAAGCATTAAGATGCGGTTGATAGAAATTATGTCAATTTATCAGACAAATATTGTCTTATTATATTTTGATGATATGTTTTTTTTTAATGTATAAATGTTATTTTTAAGGTTTGAAAAAACAAAAAAGATGGTCAAGCGTTTATACAATCCAGAAGCATCTGGCAACGATGCGGCCGCTCCACGTTTCCTCCTCTCCCAGATATGTGTGTGTTTGCATGCCCCGTCATCTGGTGGCACCTGCAGGCTTTGCCAACGCAACAATGTGGGTGACATTGCAGCAGTCTGCACCACATCATCTCATTTTTGGTCTTGAAATATTATTTCTTCACTGGCAGCGCCTCTGCATATGGGCTCCCTCCATCCTGCTGTTGTTTTCGTCACTACTGGTGTGTTTTTTTCTGTTTTGTTCCTCTGGTTATGCTTGACCGCCTTAAACTGCTGAAGTCTGGACTGTTTTCATTTAATTTTCTTGTTGAAGTGCGAGTGAGGGGCGGAGTTTAGGGACCAGTGTCCACCGTTCTGTGAATTATTCGCCCTGAGGTGACATCACACCTTTCGCTGTTCTCACTTGAAGGGGGAAGACTTTTTTTATTTTTTTGTAAAGCAAGGTTAAGAAAACAAACAAAATAAACATGTCATAGACAGTTTATAGAAAGACATGAAGGGTTGGAGGGTGGGGTGGAGTTAAAATGACTGAATCTCTTTTGAAAAAGGACAATCACTGTCTTGGGAAAAGAGACAAGCAGATTTTGATCGAGATCTATTTGCTCCCTGTCGAGATTACATCAATTTCCTTTAAAGTTCCCGTTTCAGATTTAGTCATTTTAGCTTTGACAATCATAGTTTATTTCTTTTTGTTTCTCAAGGGGAGTAAATTCTAATTGTATTTAGTTTTGTAATTTTTTGGTGTGCTGGTGTTGACATTTTTAAATTGTGTGCAAACTGCAATAAATTATAAGAATTCCTGAAATTCAGACTTTGTGTGAATTTGTGCGAGTGTGTGTTTGCGTGTGTGTGTGTGTGTAGTATAAATAAAAAAACTTCATTATTTACTTCAGATGATTGGTAACTTTACTAAAGAAACTTTAATACACTCACTCACACACATATATAGATATGTGTGTGAGTGAGTGTATATGTGTAAGCTCAGAACTCATTTCTGAACAATTTTTACAGCAGTCCTTGGGTGTGTTGTGCTACAGACGGGACCCAGCAGGAGATCCTGGCATCCTGTCCTGTCACTTATTCAGGAAGCTGCAGTCATTTGTGCTCAGACGTATTATATCGGCCTGCAGACGCTGCAAGTGTGCATGCATTTCTGCAGCTGAGATGTAATCTGCATTAGGGGAGAAAATGTGCAGCAGCTTGTTGATATCCAATCCTGTTACACACACACACACACACACACACACACACACACACACACACACACACACACACACACACACACACACACACACACACACACACACACACAGCCTCCTTCCAAAGGTCCTCAAGCACGGGTTTCGAGTAAAGAAATCAGCTTTAGCTAATGTCTGGCTGCTCGGTAAACCTGGTCTTACAGATGCATTAAAAGCCCCTGCACTCACAGGCCAAGGAGCAGCGTTCATTAGGCCACAGATGGTCTCTTCAATAAGCCCCCAACGCACACTCACGCGATAAGCTCACTCCTAATCTTTATGACATTGTCCTCTGTCTGATGGATGTCTATTAACAGTTTAAGAAAAACATAAAAAGGTGAAAAGAAAACCGGGTGAAATTGCTTTTTGTTTGTCTGAAAAAATAGAAAAAGTTACTTTTTCACATGATAAAGTTTACATTTGAAGGTGAGCAGCTATTTAAAATATATTTACTATTAAAAAGATATTGGAGACAAGTCACTGAAAAAGTAAACAAGATGCATCAGAACTTCATTAAAACCGCGGTTCTGAGCTACCTGCTCACAGAAGCCCTGTCAGAGGCAGATATGCACAAACCCTCTCCTTTGATTCTGTGCTGCTTCGTGATCATTAATTGCAGTCTGCAGATTGTAGGCGAACATCTGCTTGTAGACAACTGCTCACTCTCTGTCTCTGCGAGGTTTGCTGTGAATGTAGGTCATTAATTTGTTTCTGTCCTTTGTTTACTTAAGGAAGCGGGACAAAGGGGCAGCTGCAGAACCATTTGGCTGTGCCCAAGGCGGGCCAGCTCAACATGTTGGGAGGCTGAGACCAGCTTGGGCTCCTGTCTGGGGCCCGGGCCCCTGCACTGCGCCGCATCGCGTGAGGGAGCTGGCTCTGCCAAGCTGCCAGGGAGGACTCCATACAGGGAGGAGCAGATGAAGAGGATCATGAGATGCCCTGATGTTTGAATTTGTAAAAAAAAACCTTTTCAGCTCGCCTCTGTGCTGCGAGGTCTAAAGCCGAGCCAGATGTTTCTAAAGGATACAAAAGTGTCCCAAACTAAACTCGTTTATATTTGTGATTTAAAAGTACAGAACATGCTTAAAAATGTAAAGAATTTCAGCATTGAGCCTTGAGGAGAGCGCCACGCCACAAAGCACAGATTCAAAGCGTTTGTCACAAAAGCAGGGGAGAAAACTCCTCCTGTATCCTTTTTATGTCTCAGACTTGTTGATTCTCCATGAAAAAGGAAATGTTCCCAGGCCAGGTCTAGCCAGGAAGAATGGACAGAGATTTAAAAAAAAACACAAATGTGTGTGTGTGTGTGTGTGTGTGTGTGTGTGTGTGTGTGTGTGTGTGTGTGTGTGTGTGCAAGTGATCCAGGATTGTCTACATATTTAAAAGAGCTCCTTTGTGGAGAACTCAGCACAGCAGGACAGAAGGCAGGCAACAAGCAGCGCGCCTGCAAGCAGACAATACAGTGGCACTGCACTGGCTGGGGTGGGGGTGGAAGGGGGGAGGCAGTAGAAGCAAGGGGGAGAAGACTTTTGGGAAAATCAGGGGACACAGTGTCCCAGCAAGTCACCCATCCATCCAACCACTCCACCCTCTCCTCCCCCTTCACTGGAAACAAAAAGCGACGCAACTCGAACTTGAGTGTGCGTCTCAGTAAGAGGGGGGCCCCCAATAGTACTTACACTTGACCCCCCCCCCCCACACACACACACACACACACCACATACATTTTATTTATAGAATCTCTCAAGATAAAAAAGAAATACATCACATAAGGCAGTTATTTAGAGTCATTTTAACACTCCAGCAAAGTGTACACAAATACACAAACAACGTAGGTTAATGCAACCTGTTATCTCACAAACACAAAGGCCCCCAGCTGGTTCTCCTTTAGGGGTAGGCTATGGTGGGACTAAACAGTCCTTTGTGTTATTTTTGCAAGAAAGAAAAACAACTACAAACTCGGTTAAATAAAAAACAGACACCAATAACAACGTCTTTCAATCTGACATACCCGTTTTAGGAAATTTGGGGAATGCTGAAGAGCTGGATTTAAAGTTTTAGTGTCAATAAAGCCTTGCAGAATGAGAGGAGAGGTCACCTCATTCTTCTCCCAGCAGCGGGTGTGCCTAACAGATAAGAGGCATGAGGCGGGGTGTGTTCAGGGAGGTTTTAGAAACTGCTGGCAACAGGACACATGTGCACAACTCCACACTTTATCAACGCCACGGTAGCCTGATGGGGTCATGCGTGGAGGGGTAGAGTCTCTAATGATACCTGTCAGGCTGCTGTCTCCTGCGCTAACGGTGTTACCGCACTGTGGCTGTGCGTGCAGACATCTGGTGCACCTTCCTGCTGTGGTTTACATGTGTATAAACACACACCTTCATGTTGCATGCGCGCAGCAGTCAGCCAGCTGTGGTGGTGTGGAAACATCAAGTTCATTCTCCTTGCTAAAGAACACAGAAGATGTGATGAAAGGGACACGCGCAAAGTATTCTGGTGCAGGATTCTCAGCGAGCAACTGTAGTGTGAGGTACCCATCCATCTCTCTGAACCGACACCTAAACCTTTTTGAAGCTGCAGGAAAACAGATGGGGGCACTTATGCCAATCAGCTGGAGCTTTTCTGTTTGGAGGGTCGTGCTTTTCTTCCTACTGTCCAAAAGAAAAAAAAAACATGCACGATAGCCTTGATGGGGATTTCATACTGACTGTAGCACTGTGAAGCAGGTGTGGAAAATTAGTTAAGGCTGAAGATCCACTGGTGAAAAGAATAGTTATGAGCAGATCTCATTTGGCAACCAAAAGCACCTGGTTAATACCCAGCAAACATCTGTACAGATGTTCAAGGGAAAAATATTTAAGAATCATGTTGTGCATGTATTTTACATCATGTCTGGACTCCGTGTATCTCAGCAGTACATTGTAGTAAGAGTGTCTGCAGTTTGTGACCATTTTCCAACCAAGTCTTTGGAAACGGATTTCGTTTGTTCATTCAGCTACAGGAGGGCTTTTCCCAAACGAGCATCTCTAAATCAAAGATCCAACCTTCCCTGATGGAAAGGACACCTCCCTCCATCTTTCTTTTCAGGATTAAAAAAAATAGCATTCTATTTTACACCTTTCAGAGCAACGATGGGCTCGTATATGATTAAACACACTGCCCGGCCATGAAAAAGTCACCGCAAAATAAAAATGTCTTCAGCTTTGATTACAGCACGTATTTGCTGTGGCATTGTTTCATTGAGCTTCTGCAGTGTCACCAGGTTTATTTCCATTCAGTGTTGCATTAATGTTTCACCAAGATCTTGCACTGATGATGGTAGAGTCTGATCGCTGCACAAAGCCTTCTCCAGCACATCCCAAAGATTCTCCATGGGGTTAAGGTCTGCACTCTGTGGTGGCCAATCCATGTGTGAAAATATTTATGTTTATGTATTTAGCAGACGCTTTTGTCCAAAGCGACTTACAAGTGATAATCGGCATTTTGCCCTTGAGGCTAACAACAACAATAACAACAACAACATTGACATCAGTTATGGAGAGTAGGGAACAAAGAGTGGACAGTAGAGAGGGGGGAAATGATGTCTCATGCTCCCTGAACTAGTCTTTTACTATTTAAGTCAGATAAATCTTGGCATTGTCATCTTGGAACAAGCCTGTGCCATCAGGGAAGATGGAATAACTTAGTCATTCAGGATGTTCAGGTAGTCAGCTGACCTCATTCTTGGAGCACATCCTGTTGCTGAACCTAGACCTGACCAACTGCAGCAACCCCAGATCATAACACTGCCCCCACAGGCTTGTACATTAGGCACTAGGCATGATGGGTGCATCACTTCATCGGCATCTCTTCGTATCCTGATGCACCATCACTCTGGAACAGGGTCCATCTGGACTCATCAAGCTGGTTTTTAATAATGTGTTGGACAGTTCTTGACCCAGTTTAATCGTTTCTAGGATCTCCTCAGACGTTTTCTCTGCTTGATGCATGCCAATGATCTGACCCTTATCAAACATACTAACATCTTTTCCACGACCACCAGATGTGTCTTTCCACATGGTTGAGAAATGAGAAGTAACTCATTACACCAGTTGGGATTCAATAAATAGTTGTCAGCTAAAAGATGCATGCTCAGTTCAGATCAGACGCGCCCTAGTCGAGGCGCGCCTCGGCTCAGCTGTAGTTTTTCTTTTAACTACTTGGTGTCCTCCATTTCCTCTCTGCCTTTTCTCAGCTCTTTCCCTCTACGTGTGTGTGTGTGAGTGAGTGAGTGAGTGAGTGAGTGAGTGAGTGTGAGAGTGAGAGTGAGAGTGAGTGAGAGAGAGAGAGAGAGAGAGAGAGAGAGAGAGAGAGAGAGAGAGAGAGAGAGAGAGAGAGAGAGAGATAGAGAGAGAGAGAGAGAGAGAGAGAGAGAGAGAACCTATGGTGTGAACCAGTTGTTTCTGCCAGTTGAATCTCTTGGATTTCCCTGCATGTGTAGCTCGGGGGTGACGATGGCTGAAGATATCGCGTTAGCATTCACACTTGTTCAATTTTCAATTTTAATTCTGGTGCCTGTTAGCAG